TCGCCAAGGTGAATTGACTTTAGCGAGGGAACAGGCGAAATATGAGGCTGATAAGGCTAGAGAGGACGCAAAAGCTACAGCTATTGAGAGATAATTTCAGGCTAATGAGAGAGAAAGAGAGCTACTTGGGCAAGAAAGGGAACATGTTAGAGAAGAAAGACGGGCTCAACGAGATCGTGAGATTATGAACATGCCTTTAGAAGGTAAGTCTCCAAATTCTAAATTTTTTTGGAAGTCAGAGAAAGCGGACGTGGTGCGAAGGAGGCGTGCAAGAGAAGCGAGAGCAAGCCAAGATGGTCCTAGCACCACAAGAGAAGATCATCCTAGCACCACAAATTGGTTTAAGTGATGATGAATAGAGTAGTTTTTGTAATCGGAACCCATAATTTTCCAATCACTTTGGGTTGTAATTTATTATTTATTGAATATAGTACTTTATGTTGTTTCCAATTTATTGATTATTTATTCAAATGAATTTGGTAAGTTATTTATACTAAGAGAATATTTATTGAAATGACAAAAACACACCAAATAAAATTACATAAGCATACTGAATAATAAAAAACTCACTAAAAAAATTACATAAACATACCAAATAATAAAACACACCAAATAAAATTACATAAACATACCAAATAATAAAACACACTAAATAAAATAACATAAACATACCAAATTCAAAAAAGCACACTAAATGAACTTAATTATCTTCAACTTGTTTCAATGCCCACTAGTGCTCTATCAAGTCAATTTGCAGGGCATTGTGCATGTCTGGCATTTGAAATGCAGTATATCGTTGAATGAGCCTTTCATTGTAACGTCTATCCCTTTGTAATGACTCATGTTGCACGGGCTCATCGATGACGTCATGAGCACAATATATACGTGTTCTTGAATTTTCATCGTGTCTGGCTCATATTCATCAACGGCTTCATAATCGTACTCATCTTCCACAATCATGTTGTGAAGAATGATGCACATCATCATTATGGATCGAAGCGACTCTACATCAAACAATCTGGCAGCACCCCTAACGATCGCCCAACGAGCTTGGAGGATACCGAAACAATGCTTTACATCCTTCCTACACCCCTCTTGACAGCTTGCAAAGTGTTTTTCCTTTGCACTTCGCGGACGTGGCACTGTTTTGACAAATGTTAACCACTGCGGGTAAATGCCGTCAGCTAAGTAGTATGGCCTATCGTACATACGTCCGTTGACCTCATACGTGGCTTTTGATGCCTTTCCTTGCAGGACATCGTTGAACACTGGGGATTGGGTAAGGAAATTGATGCCATTTTGAGCTCTCGAAACCCCGAAAAAGACGTGCCAAATCCATGTATCAAAAGATGCCACCACCTCTAAAATGATACTTTTTGCTCTTTTTCTGTCCTCATAAACGCCTTGCCATGCACTTTGACAATTTTTCCATGTCCAATGCATACAATCAATGCTTCTAATCATTCCAGGAAAACCACGCATCTCGGCCTTCTTCAGAAGCCGTTCCAAGTCCATGTTTGTAGGTTTGCGAAGGTACTTAGCGGTGTAAATAGATTCGATTGTTCCGCAAAACCTCATCAGGGGCTTAAGAATGGTTGATTTCTCCATCCTCGTTATCTCATCCACTTGGTCTGCAGATGCTCCATATGCAAGCATCCGCAAGGCAGCAATAATTTTTTGCTAAGGAAGGAGACCCATAACACCAAAAGTGTAACATCCCGTCCCAAAATTCTTATTAACGTACGTGTGAAATTACGATCTTGCCCCTAGTTCGTTTTGGTCACGTTATTGGTTGTTTTGTGTGGTGTGGCGTGGGTTGGACCACACACACACACTCACCCTCACTGTCACTTTCCCTTTCCCTCTGTCTTTTCCCTGTCTCTCTCTCTCCCGTGTCTCCCTCTTCCTTCCCATCACCATAAACGTACGGACACACACATAACTACACCAAATCGACCCAGATTAAGGAAACTAAAGGCACAGCTAAGATCGTGAAGCTTGTGGGAGCACAACCGTACCATTTTCAGGTAAGAAATCCGTCGTTTTCACGTAGTTTCGTCAATGGCAGTTTAGGGTACTATTCATGCAAACTTAATTCTTTGCGTTTTTGGGAATTTGAGGTACATAGATAGCTTGGTGGTGTCCCAAGGAGTCTCGGAGTAGCTCATTTGACGAATTTGGACGTCGGGAAAGCTTGGTTCGAAGTTGGCCGAGTTTTGGAGTTTTGGACAGGTGAATTCTCGTAGATTTTAGCCTTTAAAACTTGGTTAGACGTGTTCTACTAGTCCTAAGGGTTAAAATGGTGTAAAAATCTTGAAAAACGGTTGAAAAACGAGCGAGAAAACCCAAGTTGCAGGTTTTCCGGCGACGGCGACTGATCAGAGAAGAAGGGAGAATATTCCGTTAAGGTTTAACGGAATATTCCTAATGGCAGTGACGGCGTCAGTTAGGTTTAACGGAATATTCCGTCAGTTTAACGGAATATTCCTGATGGCGTCTGTTGACACCGTCAATGTGCATGGCACGTGGGGGTGCGTGGGGGCGCGTGGGTCCGTGCCTATTTCGGCGCGTGAGGGTGCGTGGGAGGTCCAAAAATTATTTTAAAAATATGGTTGTGATCCTGAGGTTATGTAGATCACGTTGGTATATTCATTTGTCCATTTTGAGCAATGTATGAGAAGTTATTTTGAACGGACGGTTATGTGCTTTAAAGTTAACGTTTTTATAGTTAATTCGCATATAGGTGACACATATCCCGAGGACGAGCGTGCACACTCGAGGCAGGGGGGCTACGACCCTTCCACATATCAGTGAGTGGGCTTTTGTTTCCGTATACAACTATATACATATAAATTCCCAGAAATTAGTATAAATGCTTCGTTATATGCCATTCTTTTTATATAATTGGTGGTTATGCATGATTAGTGGCATATACGTTTAATTATATATTCAATTATGCATATGTCATATATATATATATATATATGTTGGTGCTGTGGAGGCATAGGTAAGTGCCAGGTAAGCGTTATTTAACGATTACATTAAATAGTGGTTAGAGATGCTTAGAGAGCTCATAACCTGCACCCCCGGTGTTAGTGCTCCCGCCCAGAGTAGGGCATAGTCATTCACGTGTTGTTCACCTCCCGCACCACACGCTCAGCTTGGATCCAAGTTAGGTGCACAGTCTTGTCGTACAGACCACATTAGGTGGTTCCGACTCGTAGGTGACCCGCGATTATTCGCACAGCCTTCACGTGATCGTAGCACTAGAGCGTTTATATGTATTACACCCAGTTTTGTCGCACAGACCACTATAGGTGGTTCCGACTCGTGGGCAGGTTTAGTGATTGAGATTGAGATTTAAGCTCTAGATTCAGCCGTACAGGTCACTTAGGGGACTCCGGCTGCCAGACGTTATGATATTGATGTGATTTATACCTGAGCACTTGCATGTTATTATGAGGCTTTGAGCATGTTGGCATACCCTTGAGCATGATTGGTATATTTATACTTACGTATGTATGTTTATTTTCTGGGAAGTATACAGGTCTTACGGCGAGGGGTTAGAATGTATTTTACTAAATGGTTTTTAAATAGCTTTGTTTTTGCCCACTCACGCTTTTGTTTTGCGCCCCTCCAGGTTCTAGTAGCTTAGCGGGTTCGGTGGTTTTCCCAGAGGACGTCCCGGCATTTTGACAGACACTCACCTATGTAGGGTCACCTTCGGGTGCACTATTGTTGTATCGTTTCTTTTGGACTGCTGTAGGTTTTAAGCTCTGAATTCAGTGTCTCACTTACGCTAGCACTCGTATTGTCATTTTTTGTATGCTAGTTTTAAATTATTCGTACTTTTATATTATTTCCTTTAGCTTCTGCACTGTGCATATGGCTACGTCACTTCCACGTGACGGCCAGCATGCCCTGATCTCGGTTGGAGTGTGTCAAAAAGCATCCTTCTTTTGCACAAAGTAAGAATCATGGTTGCAAACAGCAATCATGATTTTGTTGAACAAATGTCGTTCCATTCTAAAACGACGTCTAAAGTACGTATCAGGGAATGTACTATTAGGGACAAAATGATCGTCCAAGAGTTCCATAACTCGTCGTTGCCTACTTCTATCAAGGTTTCCAGAACGGTTGGGCTTGTAGATCTGAGCCACAACTTGGATGACTCGACGGGAATATGAGGCTCTGCCCATTCTTACTTCATCATCTCTTCTTCTACGCTCCTCATCCTCTTCCCTCTCATTTTTTGCCACCTGGTGATTGAACGTTCCTTCTGATTGGTTAAACAATTCTTCCTCTTCCTGATCGAGTTCCCACATCATCCTTGAGGAAGAAGAAGACATTGTAAGAAAGAAGCAGAAACTATGAATAATGATACAGATTTTTGTGAAGAAGGAAGCAGAAACTATGAATAATGATAGAGATCTTGAGAAAATTGGTGTGAGATTTGTGAGGATGGATAGTGGATTATATGGAGGATTCATAAAGGATTAGGTTGTAGATAATGCCACGTAGCATGCCGTCATTCGTTAAAAATCTGATGGAAATCTATCCTCAAAGATTGTAAACAGATTATGACACGTGGTGCGACGTGATTGGTTAATAATCTTATCAGAAATCCATCACCAATAATTGTATTTTCGGATAATGACACGTGGCATAACGAGTACGATTAAAAAATTTATCAGAAATCCATCCCCAATAATTGTTTTTTCGGATTTTATGACAAGTGGCGCAACGAGAACGATTAAAAATCTTATCCGAAATTACAAATAAAATTATTTTGTATTATTTAATAATACTTCGGATAATGACGTGTGGCGCAACGAGAACGATTAAAAATCTTATCCGAAATTACAATTATAATTATTTTGTATTATTTTATGAATAAAAAAATACTAATATTTTATTTCCTATTGCCAGAACTATTGAAATGTAACGATGGAGAAGCAAAAGACGATTACTGTTTATTACGAGCACTTACTCATACGAAGTAAGTGTGGTCGTCCACATTCCATCCATATTTACAACAAAAAGGGTTTCTTACCGTTCTGCATTGGGAATTTTCCCAGGTGGGGGTTATTGCAACTGAATTTCGCTTTCACGAAGCAATGGCGACGACGACTGCGGAAACAATCTCAGCGGCCATGGAACTGATTAACACGAAGAAACAGAACCTAAAGAAGGCCTTCGACGAGCTCCAATCCCACTCCGCCGTCCTCTCCTCCTTCAATCTCTCTTGGTCCGACCTCGATTCCCACTTCACCTCCATCCAAAGCTCCCTCACCCAAAAGTTCCACCTCCTCCAATCCCTCCAGTCACAGTCCTCCACAAACCCTTCTTCTCCTTCATGTCAGATACCAAAAGACCCCTCTCCTTCGTCGAATTTACCGACCCAGGTAGCAAAAGACCCGTCTTTGCCGTCGCTCGGGTCGACCCAGATGGCGGAAGACCCCAAATCATCGTTCCAGATGCCAAAGGACCTGCCTTGTTCGTCAATTTTGTCGACCCAGATTGGAAAAGACCCTTCTTCCTCATCAAACCCCTCGAGCCAGAACGTGGTTGAAACAGATATCAACTGTGAAGTGGATGTCGTGCCTCCTCGGCCCGAATTGGTGGCGTTCTGTGAGAGAATGGATGCAATGGGGTTGAGGAATTATATGAATGAGTCGGTGAATAACCGAAACACAATTCGGGGTGAGCTCCTGGGGGCAATTCGGTGTGCCAAGGACCCTGCTGGCATGGTTCTGAATGCAATGGAGGGGTTCTATTGCGTGAATGGGAGAAATAAGGGCGATAAGGACCAACAATTATTTGGTGTGAGGAGGAGTGCTGTGCTGTTGTTGGAAGTGTTAATGGGGATTTCTCCGAATGTAGGATCGGAAGTGAGGGAGAGAGCCAAGAAGTTAGCATTGGAGTGGAAAGGGAAGTTGAGTATGGATGGCGAAAACCCGTTCGAGGCGTTGGGATTCTTGCATTTGGTTGCAGCTTATGGACTGCAGGCCGAATTCAAGATGGATGAGCTTGTTGACCATTTTGTTATAGTTGCGCGGTATAGGCAAGCTGTTGAGTTATGCCGGAAAATTGGTTTGGGGGATAAGCTTGCAGGTAAAGCTTTGTTTTTGTGGAAACATTTGTATACTAAGTTGATGTTTATTTCGTTTAGTTAGTAATCGATATCAATTCATATGGTTAGTGTTATCCAATATTGATTGCCATACCTGACCTTTTTATACATGCCACATGTCTTTTGGTTTAGTATAAAAAAAGGCTTCTTTGATGTTTCAGTCACAGAATTCGTATTAGTACTAGTTTTCGTGGGAATAATGAATCCTTGAGTTGATTTTTAATCATGCACATAATGTAGTTTATGCAGCATGGTAAATAAGTTAAAAATTTTGTTTTTGGTTATCAAAACTTGTTTGATACTTATCAGACAATGATTTAATTGTGGGAACCTAATCCTCTATGAGTAAACTTCAGAAAAAGAGGTGTAAGAAGTGTGAATAGATGCAGAGTGTCTGCATGGTCTCACTACTTAGTTACTAAGGCCTAATGGAAGGTTCTACACGTAAGCTGAAGGTCAATGCACTGGGGGAGAGCTAGTGATCCAGTTTTTCTCAATATGCAAACACTTCACATGTGCTAAATGTTGAGGAGGTGTGTCAATCTAATAGAGAGCTCTATCATAAATGTACAAGCAGGGTACTGTCCCTCTGAGGCCATCTTACGCCGGGATCAGTATTTGCCTTTTTTGTTTGGCTATTTTAATTCTCTATTGCACACGTTAAAGTTTTGTTTCCCTTAGGGTAGATTCTAATTTTAACTGTATAAGTTTGGTTTTGTGCAAGCAGATCTGATTCAGAAACTTGTGAGTAAGGGAAAACATCTTTTGGCTGTCAAATTCATTTCTGAATTTGGTCTGACCGATAAGTTCCCACCAGTTCCCATCTTAAAATCCTACGTCAAAGAGTCTAAAAAGCTTGCTAAGAAAGTATGCAAGGATGGAAATAACTCTCGCCAGTCAATGGTATTTTCACCATTCTCTCATATGTTACCTGATAGCTGTCAAAATCTAATTCTTCATCTGCACATACTTCATAACTTTTTTTTCTGCAGAATGAAGCCACAGCGAAAGAATCCGGCGCTTTGAAATCAGTAATCAAGGTTATTGAAGACCTCAAGCTCGAATCTGAGTATCCACCTAGTTTTCTTCAAAAGCGTCTGGAGCAGCTGGAGAAGGAGAAGGCAGACAGAAAACGCAATGCTGTGGCTCCTGCTGCCAAGCCTCTGCAACTGCGGCAGCAACAGAAACAGCAGACAGCAAAGGAGCCGGCAAAGAAACCGAAGCAGCAGCTATATGGAAACAAGCGTCCTAGAATGACTGCTCCAGATGGATCTGCAGCAGTCTCAATTAATGTTAATGACGCAGGTTTGTTGCGAGCCTATTCCTTGTCTGGCATTGCTCCTGCTCCTCAAGCTGCCGCTTATGCGGGTTCATCAGCTGGGCTGTATGGTTTTTCAGGAGGCCAGATGGGTTTTCCTGGGCATCCAGCCCCTACTAGTACCCACTTATCCTTGTCTGAACTATATGTTCCGTCAGGTTATTATAACCGGCCAACTACCTATGGTGGATATGGTCCACCCCCCGAATATCATCCATCTTACTATCCTCAGTAGTGATTGCTACTCTTTGTTGACGTAGTATACTTTTGGATGGTATATGACAAATTTTTAGTTTTTTATTTCCGCAATGCTGGTGATCAGAAAAGCAAGTCTGCTTCTTTGTTTACCATGATTGTAGCACAGCAAACAAACTTGAACAAGCTTCTTGCTGTCCAGAAGATTGTCTTATCCACTAATTTTCTGGACATTTGGGAAGTAATCCGCTGAAAAGTAGTATAACTTTGTTTTAATATCATTTTTTTAGCACTCATTCTTGTGGGCGTAGTCTACTTCTAGGACTTACTGATCCATTTTTCTTTCCCATAGAAAATATTTCATAAAAAGAGAACAAGATCCTCATGCTTTAACTGTTTTAGGATTTTGCTCTCTGTGTTGCTGTTTAATTAGGGCAAGCAGTACTCTGCCTTTCTCCACTGGATTTTGCTGTGCATTCCCGATCCCCTATTCTTGTCCCAGAAATAGATGAAGTTTTGTATAGAATAGGAACTTAATCTTTGATTTTGAGGTTGATCATTGTAAAGCGTGCTAAAAGTAGTGTTTTTTCTTGATTACTTTTCAAAATAATAAATTTTTTTTTTCTTGAAGGTGCTTGGTTTGTCAGCATCTTCACTTCTTTGGGAACTGACACAAATTTTTTGCTCCTCTTGAATATTACATGCTGCTTAAAAGCCTTAAATCCTCTTTTGCCTTAGAGAAGGCGCTGTCTTCCATTAAAATATTTTATTAGAAGGAACATGTTTGGTTTCCCAGTTTGTCATTCATCTTTGTGTGACATCTATCTTTGAATATATTTATTCTGAAAGAGCTGGGCAGAACAGAATAGAAGCTTTACGATGTTCCTCTTTTCTTACGTGTACCATTGCCATCTTGATGAAATGAGTTTCCTTTGTCAATGGCCTTGTAGCCTAATGGCATGGCGTCTCCTCCTTGTGCAAGATGGGGATCTTCAGACTGACTCCATTAGGAGTCGTTCGCCTCTTGGATAATAAATGGGTACTTGGTGCTTATGTTTCCATAGCAGAGAAGTGGGAAGCACGGTTGGGGATTTCTCCCAGAAACATTGTTTTCTGGGACTTGATACTTTCCGCTTTATCACTCCTTGCTTTGACATTTGTGCTTTTCATTCTCTCCATGCAGTCAACTTATTGTTGTTCTGTTCTACCTGTTTCTTGCATCAATCTTTTGATTCACTTTAGGCCACGTTTTGTGGTTAGGACTTGACTAGATTGAATAACGTACTAGATTCAAGTTATATTGAAGGAAGAAATGGAGGCCAACTCCCAAAGTTAAGTCAGGAGATGGATTAGTCATGAAGAAAACGTATTCCTTTCCAATCCCCCAAACTTGGACAAAATTTGAAAGTTGGCCTTTATTTCTTTTAACATGCCTTGTATCCAGTGTTTGATACAGTTCAATCATGGCTACGTTTAATCTAGTGACTTATCCAGTCCAATCATATTCACTGAACGCGGCCTTAAGCTCATATGGTTTGGAGGACTTGTATAGCGTATGATTTAAGAAAGCTCTGTTTAGGGTTGGCCGGTTGCTTCGTGATCTGCATTCTTCTTACTTCTTAGGGCTCTGTGTATTCTTCTTAAGGTGTAAGGATGTTCTGTTGCGGCCTGTGTATTCTTTCAATTGTTTATTGTTTGTGTACAATCTTGTTCTAGTTAATGATTAAATCTAATTAAGTGGCGAATTGTGTTTCATTTGGTGATTTTTTAATTCCTCAATTATGATGTCCGCTGGTAGCTCGATACAGTGATTGCTCTTGGAACGGTCAATTCATACGACGTCACCAAAAGCGAGTCGCTGTTGCGAACAGTTTCGGAATCAGAAACGTGGTGGGAAGTGAAAACACATAACACACTGAATCAACGTTGCGGAGGCAGGCAGTTTGGAGGAGGTGGTTCATGAAGCTCCTGCATCATTGTTGTTAATAAATAGAATTTACTCCAGTGGGTTGGAGGCTCAGCTGCACAGCTTCTGGTTCTGGATTGCTTCCTTTAAGCCTACCACTGTTCCCAACTTAAATCGAGGAAGTCAGTCTAAGTACGCAGAGAGGGTTGTGTTATTCATTCGCGAAACCCTTTCTTTTTCCCGGCTACTACAAAAGTTCTACTATTCTCTAATGTATGAATGCGAAACATCCAATGATCAAGAATTTGACGACCACATATGTCGTTGGATATTACACGCAAGTGCATACTAGAAAATTCATCTAGTTAAATGTATGTCAAATAATTGTTGCTTGTTTAGCAGATCAAAGAAGATTAGAGATCATTAAGCCTTGACTAATGAAGGGGGTAAATCATTATGCCATTTGTTGACGATAAAATTTTAACTTTTCTTTGACTCTTTGCGCATAAAAAGTCATCTATCGTACTTACAAATTATATTTTGACACGCACAAACATTGAACCAAAAATTTATACAACGGTGGCCTAAACTATTTTCTTTTGTTGTGGTATGGAGACTTGGAGTGCACTTTTGGGGATGGGATGAGTTAAATTTAATTAATTAAACCATTGTTAGGCTAAATATTTGTACCAAACTTCTTTTTACAAAAGATAGGCTGGGGTAGGTAAAAAGACAAAAATTGATTTACATATTTTTTTTTATACAAACAATATTATACATTAAGTTATCTAAATTACATCGGAGTGATTCAAAATTGGATACAGAGAAGTGATCACATTGTTTATAATCAACTTGACTAAATTCAAGTCGACCAAAAAGTAACTTATGCCACTTCATTTATGCCAACTCAATGCAATCTTAAATTTGAATAATGAATTTTCTATATGCTAAAGCACTAGTGCTAGCATATGCAAAAATGTGAATTCGAATTTGAATGTCAAAAGGTAATTATTATTTTCTTAACTTAATATTCATTCTGGTTAAGTTAACAGACTGCTTCTTATCAACTAATATAACCTGCGTCTGCACAAAAGATCGCAATTCAGTTGAATTACACTTTTCCAATTGTTTTTTACCAAGTTCAATAAGATTTTAACCAGGAGTAACAAAATGAGAAAACGTCTCCATTGAGTTCTGAGTGGCTCAGTCCGCAGAAGAATTCAGATCCAGTGCAGCAAGTCAACCTCTCTCTCTCTCTCTCTCTCTCTCTCTCTCTCTCTCTGTGGCAAAAACCTTCAACACACAGAATTACCATTTTACCCTTCCTTGCTCTTCCTCTGTTCTGAACAAAAACGAACCCAGTAGTCCCTCTTCCTTTGACTCCATCACACCACACCCAAACCCACCAGCGCTCCAATGGACGCGACCGCACTCGGGCACCCCTCCGGACCTTCCGACGACGTCGATCAGGGTCTAACCGACTTCCAACGCAGCTCCGACCCGACCCTTTTCTCTTCTTCTGCTGCTGCTTCCGGTGGGGCCAAGTACAAGCTCATGTCCCCGGCCAAGCTTCCGATCTCGAGGTCCCCCTGCCTCAGTATCCCCCACGGCCTCAGTCCGACGTCATTTCTCGAGTCCCCCGTCCTCCTCTCCAACATGAAGGTCTGCCCGCTTCCACGTCGGTTTTCCCTTTCTTTTTTTTATTAAATTTATTTTTCTAGGGAGCAAAAGCAAATGCTCCTTTTGAATCTTAGGCCGCGTTTGGCTGCTTAATTTCTTCTGTTTCATTATTAATTTTTGAATTAGTAAGGCTCTGTTCTACTGCCTGGAGAAACTGAGCATATCACTTTCCAGTGAAAAAGTTTGAATTTTGAACATTTTCTCGGCAGTTTTCTCGGTATCCAAACAACGGGTAGATAATGGAATTGGGTTTGACGGCCTGAGATTTTACCCCGTGGTATATATGCTATCGTGGGGAATTTTGAGGACTTAAAAATTGATGTGATGTTGATGATGAGTGAGCGAAGAAGATGCGAGTGAGCAAAGAAGATGCTTTTTTCAGCACAATTCGAAAATTCCGATTACTATTTCATTTGTTTTGTTGCATTACAGATTAATTTAATCAAATGTGTTCGCTGCGAATGCTTGATTTTATTTTTATTGTGCCAATGGCAGTGAGTTTTTATATGTGCGTTCTTTGGATGGGACCCCGAGATTCTGATGCTTTGTTGCTGTTTTAGAGTAATGTAATGGTTGTACTGGCCTATTGGGGTCATTTCTCTTTATGCCCGTATAGATTTGTTCGAAAGCAATTGTTTTCGGGAATAATGAGGCTTTCACTTACAACTCTTTGAACTTTGTTGTTGTTTATTACCATCGACAGTGTTGTTTTCTCACATAATGATTCTTTTTCTCTTCTTTTTGCATTTTTTGTGGGTTCTAGCCTTTCTGCTTGTATTTATTTATCGGTGGCAGTGGATGCAAGTACGACAAAAATGTTTCTATTTCTGTATGTAGAATGAGGAATAAATGCATTACTAGCAAGGGGGTATAGGGAGTCTAGAAAGTTTGTGGGTCAAGGAGGTGCGGTTAAAAGTTGTGATTGACATGAGTTTTTATAGAGGTTATGACCCTTCATGTTCTGATCGTGATTGGAGATGATATTCGTTGTTCAACGCATGTTGCAATAACTTCAGTTGTCTGGGTAATCGGTCTAAATAATTGCTCTTCCATTTTCAGTGGATTTTTTTTTAAGATATGTTTATCTTCCTTACTAGTATTTGTTTCATTTGTGCCTGGTAATCGATGAGCTTGTTAGAATTATTTGGGTAGTCTATGTTGGATGGACAAATACCATATCTGTTAAGTGATGCCTATCACGATGATGCCCAAGTGATTGTCCGAGTTTCCTGTTATTGGACAGATATGTAACAGCATGTCAAAGTACTGGAAAATTATTTCTATATTGAAAGGGCTTTAAATCGCAGGGATAACTCATGGGGCTGCATCATTGTCAAGTTTCCTTGTTTCTTTTGCTTCATGAAGAGTCTTATTTTCTCCGCTCTAGTTCTTTTACAAGATTTTCCTTTTCTCTGCATGCCTCGTTGCTTAAAAAGTATCTGGATCTGGAATTTTGTGACATATTTCTTAATTTTTACTTTATCTGGTCTTGCAGGCAGAACCTTCCCCAACTACTGGGTCCTTTTTGAAGCCTCAAATGGTGTACGGATCTCTAAGTTCTACTACATATTCAGCAACAACAGTTTGCTCTGATTTCAATACCTCAGATGAAAGAAATTCTGGAAGCTTCGAGTTTAAGCCCCATGCTAGATCAAATATGGTACTTTCTATGAATTAGTGGTCCATTATCCTTTCATTAGTTGTATCCTTGATGGATATGTTTTACCTATGTGGGGAAGATACTGATTAAATGGTGGCCTTGATCCTAAGTTTAGCTGATTGGTCTTTGGCCTATCTTGTGCTCTAGTTTAAACTTGCAATATCAGTGGATATCTACTTGAGCTACAAAGTCTTTTAAGCTCCCATTCTGAAGATTAACGGATTTATTTAATCTCTTACCATTATTCTTTCGTTACTTTATTAGGTTTTTTCGATATTTTTTCTTAAAGATGCTTTATAATGTTTTCTAGGGATAAACTCTCCTTGTCAAGATGGACTGTCATATTTCTTTCTAAATTGTAGAACAATGATATATCTTGATCGAGTTTTTTTATGTATCTGCAAGTGTGCCAAAGTGGTTGTAAAAGACTAATTGCCTAATGCTTTACATTTATTCAAGGTTACTACAGATTATAACCACTATGGGAATGAGCAGCCTCTGCAAATCCAAGGTCAAGCTCAGCCTCAATCACACATGTCACCACCTTTGGCTAAAAATGAGATGGCAGTCTCCTCAAATGAATTTAGTTTATCTGCACCTGTTCACACGGTCACTGCAGGAGCTAGTGCACCTGCTGAAGGTGATTCGGGTGAGTTAACACAGAGGGAACATCCAAATCCTGGGGTCCAAACATCTCAGTGTGATAACAAAGGAAATGGGCCTTCAGTAATATCTTCTGATGATGGGTATAACTGGCGAAAATATGGACAAAAGCACGTTAAAGGGTGTGAATTTCCTCGCAGTTATTACAAATGTACCCATCCTAATTGTGAAGTGAAGAAGCTATTTGAGCGTTCTCATGATGGCCAGATAACAGAGATTATCTACAAGGGTACACATGATCATCCTAAGCCTCAACCTAGTCGACGATATAATACTGGTGCTATGATGCCTCCTCAAGAAGAAAGATCTGACAAGGCTTCATCTTTGACTGTTCGAGATGGTAAGCATCAGACTAATTCATGTTACCTATTTCCCGAATAGACTAATGTTCTTCTATCATCTCTTCTAATTTTCTTTTTCTTCTCTAATGGTAGACAAACCATCCAGCATTTATGGGCAAATGTCTAGTAACAATGAGCCAAGTAGTACTCCTGAGCTATCTCCTGTCACAGGCAATGATGATAATGTAGAAGGCACAGGCTCACTGTCAAATAGGATACCTGATGAGGCTGATGATGATGACCCGTTCTCAAAAAGGAGGTATAAATATTCAAGGAATGCTTATGTTTTCCCCTGTGTTCATTTTTTTTCTAACTAACAAGGTGTCAAATTTGTTGAGCAGGAGGACGGATGTTGGTGGCATTGATGTCACACCAATTGTTAAGCCTATCCGAGAACCACGAGTTGTTGTTCAGACTCTGAGTGAGGTTGATATATTAGATGATGGATACCGCTGGAGAAAATATGGTCAGAAAGTGGTGAGGGGAAATCCTAATCCAAGGTATGGTTTATCATCAGGGGAAGATAATTCTCACTGATTTTTATCTGTTTCAACATGTAACTTCAACATTTGTTTGGTAACTTTATGAGTAATCTCTCTGCTTTGGCATTTGGTGTTCTACCACCATCATCGTATCGTCCAAAGCTACCCTTGTTAACTGCAATTCTCAAATGAATTATGCAGTTTCTGAATGTTCTCACGTGTTATGCAGGAGCTATTACAAGTGCACCAATGCTGGATGCCCTGTTAGAAAACATGTGGAGAGGGCATCCCATGATCCAAAAGCAGTTATAACTACATATGAAGGGAAGCATAATCATGATGTCCCAACTGCAAAGACTAGTAGCCATGACGCTTCAGGACCAACAACTGTGAATGTCCCGTCGAGGATTAGATCAGAAGAAAGTGACACCATAAGCCTTGATCTTGGTGTTGGAACCACCTCTGGTGGCGAAAATAGATCCAACGAGCACCTGCAACTGCACTCTGAACTTGTGGAACGGCAATCTCGCACTAATTCCAATTTCAGGGTTGCTCAAAATACCCCTATTTCGACATACTATGGTGTTCTTATTGGTAGCACGAATCAGTATGGATCTAGGGAAGACCCAAGTGAATCACGCAGCATCGAGGTTCCACCTTTAAATCATTCCTCATACCCATATCCACAGAACATGGGAAGAGTGCTAACAGGTCCGTAAAATTTCTTATGATGAAGCCAACAGAAATAAGCTGCTTCTCCCCTTCTTTTGGCACAAGCGAAGGTCAAAAGGGCATCTCAGTTTCAGACCGAAAATAAAAAAGAGAAACAGAGGTATTCTTCTTCTTTGTCTATTTCAAAGAAAGTGGTATTGTGATTAGGTGCCTGCTGCAAAAAGCCTTCTCTGTCCAAGTACTGTATTTGTAACATTAACTTGTCAGGAATACTATGTACAAATATGAATGAGTCCTTATATATATATTCTCCGTCTTTGACACCATGTGTTGTAATTTAAATGCTTAAAATGTTCGATGATTATAAGAAAATTTTGTTTCTTTTAGCGTTTGTGATGGAATCTTAATAGTATAATTAGTAGTTACTGAGCTGCTGCTTTAGAGCCTTAAGTTTGCTCGGCATTGTGAGTCCTATTGCTAACACTCGAGCAAATGTAGATGCCGGAGCACTGATGCAGTCTGGTGTCATTTGCGTCTGAAAGTTGTGATAATGTCTGTTGCTGCAGTAGATAAAGTTTTCATAAATGTAGATGCAAGAAGTACAATTCATCGTAAAGTGATGGTGTCAAAGATGAGTTGTAGTGGTGCCCTCTCATAATTGATGGTCCGAATGAGAGGATCGATGCCTGAGCTGGCCGTCGAAAGAGGGTCTCTCGTCGTGTTCTATGGATTGAGTGATCTTGAAAGGAAGTGTCCCTTCAGATTGGGAGGAGGCTTTCCCCTTTTGCATTGAGCTTGATTTATTTTTTTATTTTTTTTCAACAAACGACATTATCTACACTAAAGAAGAAGAAGTAGGCTTAGCCTCACAATGAGCTAACAATAATGTAGTTCAAATTTACCTTTGATGAAAATTGAACCTAAGATCTCTCACTTACAGTCGAAAATGAATACCATTAAACTGTAGTACAAAGTAGTAGCTTGATTTTTTTCTTGATGAGGAGAAATGGTCCCTCAAATCATTTTTATGGATCCAGAAAGATAAGAAAGAAGAAAAGCAAGAGTCAAATGTTACAAGTTTAACAGAACATTACAGAAGAAATACAAGGTGAATATTGACGATTGAATTCTTTGTAGCTTTGTTCTCAACTTCTCAGGTCATGGCTTGTGGCAAAATGGAAGCTTTTGGCTCCTTTTGAACCATGTAGATATAGCATACAAAATTGGCTTAGTGGTTAGGATCTTCCTCTTTAATTCACTGTATTTTGGGTTCAAACCCTCCTTCCCTTGATGTAATTTGGAGTAAGAATACCGGTTTAATAAAAAATAAAAAAAAGGGTTTGAGTAAGGGACTTCCAAGTCCCAAACAATTGAGGCCTCTATTTTGGATAACCAGCCTCATTAGTCTGCACCCAAATTTTGTTTGGGATGTTGTCTGTCTCGGTCCAGGTCCATTTTTGGGATTATCCCAGATTTGGGTCCTCCACCTGTTTGGCTGGGAGCCATCTAGCCCTAATATGGCACGAACCGCTGGAATTTCTTGCTTCTACTGTCGACCCTTGTTTAGGCTCGGCCTATTAAATTAATTTAGTGACCTTCAGTTGATAAATTAGACAGAGAAAGATATTTTTGGCGCGCAGTCCACTTTATAAATTACGATCTAATATTTTGTATTTTTTTTGTTTGGACCATCGACATCATTTCATAGTTCCAAAGCTTACTCACACTGGATCCCGAAGCAACCCAAATTCATACACTAGTTGTATTATTGTATCTAGTGTTCTTGCACGTATGATGAACTAGAAGTTCATTTAAATCGAACATGTAGCTTCAAATTAGTGCCTTTGAAACTTGAAGTTTTCATAAAACAACACACCATGTGAAACTCGAAATTCTTCATGAAAATTAAACCAAACCATGTTTTAGAACCCAAATGTTTTACTTTGATGCTTATGGAGGTTTTTATTCCCCATAGCACCAACCACAATCTTGTTGTCTCCATTCAATGGATTGCCGAACCATCACAAGTTCAATTTCACTGACATGGAAGTTTCTGACAGAAACTACTTTATGTGGGGTACAAGATGTGAAGCTCCACTTGGCTATCGAGAAGTTGAGAAACCATTGAAGTCAACAATGGTGTGAATAAGATCTGAATAAGAATCCGCCATGATCTTTTCGAAGACTTATGTGGGAAGCATTACAAATGGAAGTACCTCGATAAAGACGATTTCATGGCTCTTTGGTATGCTCCACAGACCGTTCAATCATGAAAGATGATTAAAACTTTTACATCCATGAATAAGTAAAATTTTGAAGTTTATCGAATTCGATTGAATTTTGACTAGAGAAGATTTTTCTTGTCCTTTTATGCCTCTAGCATACTTTTGAAGTAGCAATGTAGAGAACGGAAGTTCATTAAATTATCGTTTTGATTAGAGCCCAATGAATGGCATAGATGTATCGAAGGATATGCTCTACTTCGGCAGAGGTGTACCAAGCAGAAGTCTCTGTTTCGACAGACGCCTACCGAATCTGCTCATCCAGCTTCGGCTGGAGAATACCAAACAGAGCCGCCTAGCTTTGATTGGAACCTTCTGAACCCAAGTTTGAATCTATCTTTCTTCTCACCACTTTAGGGTTGGTTTTACAACATATGGTAGAATCAAGACCTGTCAAGGGGTGGCATCATGGCCAGAAGTGTGATCCTTAACACGTAATACCCAAAATTTTAAGAATAAGGGACAATACTCCTAAACCTCAACCTTGCAAAATCTACTTCTGTTTTGAAGGAAGAGGTCATTGGTTTTGTACTTATCTGTGCCCCTTGAGAGGAGTAACATTCTCATAGTCAATATGTGAGACTAATTTTGCTCCACCTAACACATTTGGAAGAGCAGAATTTTGACATGGAATTGCCATGTTGGCCGAATCCTCTTAGTAAAATTTGGTTTACTTTGTGAACAATTTTTTGTGTTCCCAGATTCAAGTTTGGTGTTTGTTTTAGTTCTGGATAACATTATGAATATTGTCCTCAAATATGAGTTTCATTAGATCATGGTTCTTATACATGTGACCAAATTCAATTAACATGTGATTAGGTATAATCGTATATATATGGGACAATTAATTGTCTTGATGAAATGTGCTATTACGCACACTAACTTCATATCTAAATCACCCATCTAACAACGAATTTAGGTATATCCAACCTAATTAAGGGCCTTGGCACCGCCCCCCGTTGTATGAATGTTAATGACTTACCATTAAAAGGACCTTATATTCTCCTTGGCCAGGAAGAACATCATGGAGTTTTAAGGATATCCAGGAGAATAATGATCATGACTGAAGTTGCTAAAAAAAAATAGAGGGTGCAACACCATCAAAATATGAAAGCCCAAAGCTATGTTTTGGGGCCAATGGGTTGCCCCCCAATTGGGACACGCCACATGTGGTCGGCATGGAGCCAAGTGATTCAAGTAATTTGCTTGCTTTGGCAAGACCATTTGGGACACTTAGGTTGAGATATAACGTTTCATACCACAGACGCATCTCTTTACCCGATATAAGGATTTTGTGCCTACAAGCATACTTTGACAAGCCTGTGTGTTGGAAAATTGGATTTCTATATCACCCCAAGGAAAGATACTAAAAGACCCTCTTTTCACAGTGAATTCAAGAGAATAATTTTGGACTAGTCCAAACAAAATGTGAACCATGTAAATATTTATGATTTTGGTTGATGTATCGACACACTAGTCACATATTTGTTCACATACACTACAGCTAACTTCCTAGCTGATTTTAACTTCAACCATCCGAACCGTTCATTTTGAGTATCAATATATTTGTCAATCAATTACTTGATTCTCAAGTAACTTGTTATTTAGGTGACTTGGTTGTCGAATTGATCTTATGGCCCAATATGGTTAGAATAGTAGATTATTAACCTCTGATTAACCTATTACGTGGTCCCTATTTGGTGAAGACTTATTATGGTCGGATATAAACTATGTAATTGGGATTATGAATCTCTCTCATTTAATAATAGGCTTGATTGAGAGAGATCCTAGCAACTATGTAAGAATTGTCCTTGCTCTCACAATAGTCATTTTATTATGTACTAAGCCCTATTCATAGCAAGAACATATAGTTTGGAGAGAGTAGAAGACATTCTTATGCATACGCCGATTTCTTTGTCATCCGTAAGAGCCACATCTTCCATACTTTACAAATAAGTTCAATATAATTAGTCCATCTCTATTTTATATAGAGTTGATTCATTATATTCATGATCCTAATCTCTTGTTGTTGTGATTTCAGAATACGTCTTAAAACTTTGACACAGAATATAGTGTGATGAATCAGATTCAATTGAGTACAAGTAGTGAGAACTTTGGCGATGATATCTTTTTCATCTCAAGGAGGAAGAACGTAAAAAGGTTGCAATAGTTTGCAGGACAATTGCAAGGAAAACTGTATATACTTCATCTGCTTAAAAGTGTTTAAGCTATATACGTTTGCCCTTGTGTTTTATGTTTTGGCTATGAAAACCTATTATAATTAGTTTCTATCCAAAGATGATCATGGAATTATATGCTTTTGTTACAATCAGAAAATATTTAGTAATGTTTTTGTTTCTATCAATGTTAAATGGACAAAACTAACCATATGATTTTATATAGTTTTGTTTTAGTTACTCACTTCCTTACAATATCTGACATAGAGATGAAGTTGAAAAATTAGTATTTGAACCCCCAAATCTCGTAATTATAAACCTGTTGACTAATGCTTGATCAGTGGAAGCGTATAAGAGGTACATGCGTCTTTGAGATTTTTTTTACTCTTTTAATCAGTGGGAGCAATAGTCTGCCTGTGTAGTTTTGTCTCGTTTAATCAGTGAGAATAAGAAACTGCCTTTTATATTATTGAATTGAAAAGTTAGTGGCTGATGGTTTAATCGTAAAATTTTATTCATAAGTTTTAATAAGAGATCCTAATTTTGTAAATACTATGTTGTATTTTACTCGTTCTCTTATCAAATTTTAAATAGACAGAAAAGTTGGATTTTGTTACCAACGTTGTTGAGTTAATTTGCGAACTACTTTTGTTTTGAAGGATTAGTATAAGTGCACATTATCCTTGTTTTCATAGTTCTACATTTAAATTAATAATAACAGTTGTTATAAGGGTTTGGTTATAGAACTTTGTTACTCATTGATCACTATTATTCTGGTTATATTTGGCTGATTTTGTGTACAAATTTATTGATGCTCAAGTGCGAGAATGTAAGAATTACTGTGAGTATTAATATCTTTGTCAACCAATCACTTGATTCTTGAATAACGCATTATAGAGATGACTTTATTATCGAGGTGATCTTATC